TTCGTGCGTCTTGAAGTTTCTGTCTGCTGTGCTGCTATCTTAGACAATAATGATTTTATGATCTACTTAATGTATCATATGAGTTTATCATAATTATAATATAAAAATTGATTTTATAATATATTTGGATAGTCAATTTATTTATCTTATTTATCTTACCGAATTTCATTATAATATAACACTTATTTAAATAATAATAAAATAAATAATGATTTCACTATTACGTAGTAGCAGAGCAGACAAAACATCTCATAGGAAATGTGACAAATTTTGTATTTCAGAATTATTTAAACGTAATTATAAACATCATTTTACACTTTTTGTGATTACCAAAAAAAATTTTTTTTTCAAAGAAAAAATTTTTATGTATGTTAATTATATATAAGCATATATAATTATATATAATTATATATGGGACTATGTACAATCTTGCATAGCTGTATATTGCTCCATATATAGTCATATATAATTATATATGATTATATATAACCTCATATACAATTCCATATATAATCATGTATGATTATATATAACTATATATGATTATATATAATCTTGCTTGGCTGTACATTGCTCTATATATAGTCATATATAATTATATATGATTATATATGTGATTCCATATATAATCATATATGATCATATACAATTATATATGATTATATAGAAACATTTTTTCTCGGGTAATTAATTAGTTTGTTTATATTAGTTAATTAATTTGTATAAATTGGCCAATAATTCCAACTGTGACCCAAAATATAATTGGGTTACTCAACTTTAAATCTCTATTGAAAATAGGTAATGCACCTGTAATCACTCTGATGTCAAATATCTATTCCGAGATCATTAAACTGATCCACTGCAGCTTATCTGCTAAACAACCCGCTATATATCTCAAGAATTATCTCTCAAACCAGATTGGCAAATAAGCACTATTTTAGATTTAGTTTCAAGCGATTCTATTTATTCTATTATGGTCTAAATCCGCAACTCCCCTGTATCCTCTGTAATTTTCATGAAAATGAAGATCTGTCGCACATATTTCTCAAATGCCCAGTATACCATCCATACAGGGAATTTTATTTGCTACTAACACCTCAGTAGCTGAAGCTGAACCTGAAGTGTTACCCTTACTTCTCAATGACCAGCCATATTTATTTATTATTTATTATTATAGCTAGTATATTGATAAATTGTGATTAATTCCGCACATTTACAAGCGGCCTTACTGTGTTATTAGCTTATAATTATTTACTTTGTATCTTTGACTGTTACACACTATTGTGCAATGAATTTATTAACGATACTTATTATACACAAACTGTATTTGAAACTATTTGCTGTAAGTCATGCATTAAAAGCAATATTATTAAATAAATAAATAGTTAATTTGTATAAATTAATTAATTAATACAAATCAAAATTAAAATTAATTAAAAATACTTACAGCAACCGGCTTGGGTTGAGAACGTTCCAAAGAAGAAGTTGCATTAGCACGATGCGGAGTCGCATTGATATAGTTCCGCATATCTAGCACAGAATCTGTTTTATTGACCAGTCTGTCCACTGCAGAACGACCAAGAGTTCCACGGCCGGGAGGTTTCGCGTTCCTGTCGACTCGCGGCGGCAAATCTGGAGGTCCGTGGTGGGGAGATCTCGCTGATGGAACTCCTGGAGTGTATGATGGTAAGTTGGCTTCTCCTGAGGGAGAAAATCCGTATTTGTTGTCTGGAACTGCTCGTTTGTGTTGCTCAAATGCCTAAATAATTAATAATAATAATAATAATATTATTGAAGCTTGAAAAAGCAAAAATTAAAATTAAATTTAGTTCGGAAAAAATCTGTAAGATGGCGCTGCGCGCCGGATTAGGAACTACGTCACTCTCCCGCGAAAATTCAAATTCAAAAAATAATATTTATTTAAAAAGGTCACCTGGAGGTATTTAAATAATTTTTCTTAATTTTTTTAATTAATTTTAAGACTCACCTGGTAACTAGAAGTGTATGGCGGAGGCGCAGCAGTGTCATCTTGCGTAGCAATGCTTGGATCGGAGCTACTCTTAAGGCGCGTAGGGGGACCAAGTTGCCCCGATAAGAGCGGAATATTCGTGTTTAGTTCCAGGTCGCTTTCCGGAGAGGATGCGTAGGAGAGGCGAGATGTCATCGGGAATAGGAAATCATCTGAGAGTGCTTCTTCCGGCTACAATTGACGCAAAATGTTTATTATTTATATTAAGTACTTTATTAATTAATTAATTGTATGATAAATGATTATTAGAATTAAATATTATTATTAATCATGCGACATGCGTGAGTGATACAATGAGAAATGAAAATTGAGGTTAGAGTTTACTTTTTAGGTTAAATGTAGCCGAAAAATTGTTCAGTAACACTCTGATTGGGGGCAGCACTGTGTAACTGAGGAGTTGGCGGGCGCGGAGGCGCTAAATTGTTGTTATTGTCGTAGTAATTATTATTATTATTATTATTATTATTATTAATATTGTTGTGGTTAGTTAAGTTATTATTGGGGTAAAATGGGTCGTAGGGATTGAAGAAGGAGTGATAAGGAGGAAGATAGAGATCCGACACCATTTCTACCGGCTACAAAATACAATCCCATTAGTTTTTTTTTTGGTTTAAAATTTTGAATTTTAAAATAAATATTACCCAGTAATTATTCAAGCAGAGAAGTGATGCTTGTTATCAGAATTGTGCATTAAAGAACTTTAATAGTATTGTCGTAAAAGATAATTACTGAGTAATTAGAAAAAAATGTGCAAGAAACTTTAAACTTTCTAATGCAATTAAGAAATTTCTAGTCACTAATTATTATTCTAATTATTACCTTGGTCTGACTCATCCAAAGAGGTCCCTGCTGTTGTCGGTCAATTAACTCACGGAGTTTGCGATACCAAGCCTCAGGTGTGGTCAGCGTTATCACTGCACTGAAAGTATGGCCCCAGATTTTGTCCAGTTTCTGGCACTGTTCCAATAATTTTTTACTGCTTTTGTGGGCTGACCTAAAACAATAAAATAATTAATTTTAATATTAATTAAAGCTAAAACAGCTTTATATTGATTTAAAATAGAGTTAACAAGGGTTTAAAGACAAAAAAAAAATTTAGTTTGAAAATTTTCTGTAAGATGGCGTTGCGCGCCGGATTAAGAATTACGTCACTTACCCGCGAAAATTCAAATTCAAAAAATAATTTAAAATTAAAAAATCACTCTAATAAAGTAATTAAAAATTTGTATTAATTTTTTTTTTTGATAATTTTAATGAAATTTAAAAGAAAAATATAGAATTTCTCTATTAATTAATTTAGTAAACTAATTTATTAGCTCGTAAGCTGATTTTCTAACTTTATTTTCAAATATTTAATATTTTTCAATTTTTTACTTAGAATTAAATAAAAATTCATATAACTATTTTTATTACAGTCAAATATTTGTCAATATAATTGTAGCTTTTTCCTTAATATACAAAATAAATTTTTTTTAAATAAAAAAATACTTACTTAGGAATCCCAGCCCTCATCTCCTTGATCACCTGTTTATTCTCCGCCTTCAAAAATATAACAATCGGATAAAACTGTGCATAATTGAGCCTATCAACAGCATTGGGAGTGATATCCAACAAAGCATGTTTGCTTCGTTCCATAACCTCACGAATGGCACTCAACCTAATAATCCCATTAGTCTTCCCCTTGGCAGAGTCCTCAAGTTGATTCTCCATCTGCGGTGAAGTAAACTTATCCGGAAAATCCTTCAACAGCTTCTCCCTAGCAAGATCCGCAACAGGTCCAAAGAGCACCACAGGCCTAATGAACCCAGGATGTCTCAGCACAACCCTTTCATAAGCAGGAAACTTGCTGATGCTATCAGCAAAGACAACATCATCCCAGTGGTCCCTTCCAAGAGATTTAGATCTTCTATGGCTGCCTCGTCTCCTCCTGAAGAAGCTTCCACGGCTCTCACTGCTCGAACTCAGTTCCTTTTTAGTCGCATTGAACTGCGCAGTGGCGAGTTCTTCAGCCCTAGCTTTGTTCGGGATGATTCCCTTCTGGACCTCCTGGTTGTTCCTGCCAATCCTGAAGACCTGCCACGCTCCAACGACGCCGTTGTGGAGGGTATCGATCACGTGGAAGACGTCTCCACTTCTGAAGCTCATCTCACCTTTATCCGGCTGCTCATAGTGGAAGTGTGTCTTGATATGAAAAGAATCTCCTCTTCCAGAGTTTATAATCTGGTCGTACTCCTGGCGACGATGCTGGACTATCAAATCAATCTGCTCCTGGAGGCTGAGCAAGAAGAGGACAGCTTCCTCCCTGGTGACTCCTTTCATGTCCATGTCGTTGACTTTGAGGATCTTGTCGCCAGGTTGGAGCCCTTGCAACGAAGCTGGAGACCCAGGTTGCACTGCAGTCACAAAAACTCCGGTTTCATTTCCTCCACTGAGTCTAACTCCAACAGACCCTTCCTTTTGGAAGGTTATGAACCTAGGGTCGGGTACTGGCTGCTGTTTGGAGCTGACACGCAGCTGCTCTTCCTCGTAGAGCTGCCGGCGGGAGGAGTAGTAGTCCTCAGGCCTTGGAGGAGGAGGTCTCGGCGGATCCACTGTAGGAGTCGCTGGAAGGTCCAATTGACTTAACGAGACGTCCATTAGAGGACCTCTGGACCTTCCGCCTCTAGGAGCGAGGTTGCTCTTGTCCTCCGGCTGCCTTGTAGGTGGCGGGACGTACAAGTTCTGGCTGCTGTAACTCGCCCCGGACAAATACTCCCCTTCTTTAGCCGTGGAATAATTCGCCGCAGCAGCTGATGATGAAGACGCTCCAGGTTCTCGAGTGACCACCACAGACAGCCTGTCTTTGCAGGAGTCCATTATCTTCTTGGCCTCCTTCAGGCTCATGTTATCCGCAGCAACCCCGCCAATTCTCGTAAGAAGGTCTCCGGGCTTTGCGCCATTTTCTCGGGTGACCTCCTTGACGTAGAGTCTGCAGCCCAGGACTAGGCCAAAGTCGTCTTTCTTGTTGTTTCTGGTTAAGGTCAGCCGGTGGGTTTGGGGCTGCGCCGGGGGCGCCATTGAGGTCACAGCGCGTCGCTTTACCACCAGCAGGACTGTAGAGCCGGAATCGCGCAGCACTCTTACAGCAGCGCCGTAATCTGCCCCTTCTAATGATACTCCGTTTGCGGATATTATTCGGTCGTTTACTTGAAGCTTTCCTTCAGCTGGGCCGGCTTTTAGGACGTCGGATATTGCAATTGCGGGGTCGCCGTTTGTAAAGTGGGGGTTGTCACGGCCCCCTGATACTGCGATTCCAAAACCGTAACCTGGCACTCGGGTTACTGTCACGTGGTGGACTTCCCATCCTCTGTCACCGACCTAGGAAATAGTTTGCTTGATAACATATCTAAATTTGAGGAGAATTGGAGGAATAGTTCTTGAGGTATTGAGGAAAATTTAGTACATTGATTTTTAATGTCAATATAGTAAAAAAAAAAACTTGATTGTGTTAAAGGTTACTTAGTTTGGATATTAATATGTTATTTATGATAATTAATGCTGTTAAAAATTGAATTATTGATTAAAAATGGTAGTAAATTGATTTTGAGTGTCAATGTAGTAGAAAGAAGTCCTTAGTGCTTTCATAAACTAGATTATTTAAATTTTAGAAGAATAATTGTACTAAATTTGAATAGTATTGAGTGTAAAATTGACTTTAAAGATGAGTGTCATGTAGTAAAAAAATGTAATTAACATATAAAAAATTGCTTAATTTAAATATTAAGCTAAAATTAATATAGTAAAAATTAATTTTGGTGATTAAAAATATTAACTTAAAGGATTCTGCATTGATTTTGTGTGTCAATTTTTGAAAAATTAACTAATCTTATAAAGACCGATTTTATTTAATTTTTAAGGTGATATTAAGGATGAATATCACTTTTAACATTCAAAAAATTGAGTAAAAAATTATTTTACATTGATTTTAAGCGTCAATGCACTTAAAAAGTTAATAAGTCAGATAAACACATAATAAATTTGAATTTTAAATTGATATTAATGATCATTACTATTATTAGTAATTAATACATTGACTTAAAATAATTTTACATTGATTTTAAGCGTAATAAATTATTTATGATAGAAAAATCTAAATTTTAATTTTAATCTGACATTTTTTATGTTTATAAAAAAAAATGAATTTTTTTTTTTTTTTTTAATTATTATGATTGTTATTATTGTCGGAATTTTTATAAAAAAAAAAATAATAATAATAAAGAAATTTAAAGGTTGACAAACAGGTTAAAAGTGATTCATAACTGGAGAATTCCTTGAGGCTTTTTAAAAGAAGGATAAAGGACGCATTCCTAATCTCTGAGACATATTTACAGTTCTCTAATCTTAATCAAGGGAAAAATTTTTTTTTAATTTTTAATATTCAGTTCAGTAATAATATTAAATTAAATTATCTTTTTGCGTTGGAGTATTTTGCAATTATAAGCAATCATAAATATTTTTCTGCACTTTGAAAATTATAAAAATTTCACAATTGAAAATAAAAATAATAATTAAAGGTCACGGTAAAAATTTCGGACCTAGGGTCCGAAAAGTTTCCTTGTCGTTTCATGAGTCATTGGCACAAAATTACTAAATTTTCCTCAATAGAACGTTTCTCCAACTCTCTATTCCTCTCGGAATTCCTCCCCACCGAGATGAAAGTTCCACTATATTGCCTACTTTTATGAAATACATCTTTGTAACTAACCAATACCACTTGAATCTTTCAACAAGTATCTGCACATTGCTATATACTGTCCTATCTTCAATATTTTAGGAAATAGAAATAATTTAAATGATAAAAAAAGAAAAAAAGTTGTGATCTAGTTTTTGTCCAAAATTGTAGCTTAGAAAATTTTTTATCAAAAATGTTCATATTTAATTGACTTATTTTCAATATTTTAAGAGTTATAGGAACTTTATTATTAACTCGTTGATGAAAAATTATAATCTAGTTTTTATAAAAATTGCTATAACTCCTAAAATATCGATTTTAGGAAAAAATCATGAGATCAATTTTATACCTTACAAAATCTTATACAAAAAACGTTCATATACCCTAGGTCTATTTTTAATATTACTAATTATTATTTAAAATTTAAATTAATAATTTTTTTCCATCCCAAAATTTAACTTTATTTTCTCACAATTAAAAAAATAAATAAAAAATCTTATCCACTGACGCGTGACATTTACCCCCACTCTTAATTTATTAATTACCTCGTTATGCGGTTGAAGGCCGTTTCCAGGATTGTTGTTGTTATTATTGCTAATACTGCTATTATTAATACTATTATTGCTAGTATTATTATTATTACTAATATTACTATTATTAACAATATTATTATTATTATTATTATTATTAATATTATTATTATTATTAGCGCCGCTGCCACTAGTATTATTATCACTTCTTTCCATAACGAAAAATCATAATAAAAACTTATAAAAAAATATAATAAAAAATTACCCCATTTATTATTATTATTATTATTATTATTTAAAAAATAAACCGTATGTTCTATAGGTGTACCGAGACACGACTGAAAAAATATTTTCAGCCTTCTCTACCTGTTGCACATTCCAATTCCCCCTCCAAAAACTTTTACTCTTTATTTATTAATTTATTGTTTAAAAATTTCTTTTAAGGTTTTTTTTTTTTAATTATTTATACTTGTTATTTTTAATTAGGAATTTTTTTAGGTGGAGGGGGAACACTTGAATTTTTAAAAAAATTAAGAGCAAGTTACTGAGCGTAGGAACGAGTTTACTTGAGCTTATAGTGACTTATAGTGTCCGTTGCGGGTTTAGTATACTTAAACTCTACGTAGACACTATACTCGCTGGATGCTTGGCGAGTATGAGCACAGAGGGCGTGTTTTTTACCTGACACACCTTGGGAATAGAATTATGGGAAATGTTAAGCGGTTTTCAAAAATATAATAGATTATTATTTATTTTAAAGAGTGCAAGGAAATTATATCGGAGGAACTAATTTCGGTCTAATTTTATACTTATCTAAAAACTAGACTATATTTTCTAAAATATTGAAAATAGACCCCTAATATAAAAACGTTTTTTTTAGGAAATTTAATAAGCTATAATTTTGTATTCTTATGATTTTTTCCTAAAATCAATATTTTAGGAGTTACAGCCATTTTTTATAAAGACTAGATTATAATTTTTTATTTTTCATCAACGAGTCACTAATAAAATTCCTATAACTCCTAAAATATTAAAGATAAGTCAATATAACACAAACATTATTTGTAGGAAATTTTATAAGCTACAAGATTGACCTCTTAAGATTTTTTCCTAAAATTGATATTTTAGGAGTTATAACTATTTTTTACAATGACTTGATCATAATTTTTTTATTATTCATTCTTTTTATAAAATTACTATATTTCCTAAAATATTGAAAATAGACCCCTAATATAAAAACGTTTTTTTTTAGGAAATTTAATAAGCTACAATTTTGTATTCTTATGATTTTTTTCTAACTTCAATATTTTAGGAGTTACGACCATTTTTATATTATCTAAATAATTGTCTCCTAAAAAGAATTTAACTCCATCCCCAATTTTATTATAAAATATATTTTTTTTAACCGAGGGAGGACATTCACTCGGTTTCAATGACCGGGGACGGAAATATTTTATTAGCATGGCATAGTTTTTATCCCAGGTAATTGCTAGTAATTTTATTGCTATGTACTATCATTATTATTGTACGATTGGTTTTGTTTCTGTTTGCGTAACTGGAAATGAATTTTTTAATTGCAAAGGAATTTCTTTTATAAGAAAATCTACTCAATTATTTTTTTTTTTGAATAAAAAAAAAAAATTTTTGGACTCGGAAATTTTACCCAAAATTAAAATAAAAAAAATTCTTAATAATTCTCAGAGAATATTACAATTAAAATATAAAAAAAAAAAAACAAGCAAAGTTATTTCCTTTTCTCACCGGAAATCCTCAGGGGTTTTTTCTTCTCATAAACTGATTAATTCAAAGAACTACTCTTGGTTTAAAGGTCATGTACTTTAGATTTACTCAAGGTCTTATTTTAATTACCCTTTTACATTTTTTTTTCAAACTCATTGTAGTTTTCTTCAACACTACGATGTATGGGCGTATTCTTATCAAAGAGGCGTTTGATGAATCACTTTATTTATTGATATTGATAATTTAAATTATTTTGGGAATTGATCGAAAATTAGTGACTTATTTTTAGCTAATTAATTTATAATTTAAATTCTTAAAAATTAATTAATTCTAATTTACCCCTAATTTATTATTAAATGTTTATATTTAACTAATTTGTAAAGAAAATTTTTTTTAAACAATAAGAAAATCGATTTTTCCCTCCTAGTAATTTTTCAGCCGTACTAACTTGTATCCCGGTCAAATGTTGTTTTAATAGTTTTAACAACAAATTAATTTAATGTTTGTTATTAACTAACATATTTATTATTATAGTTTTAAGAACAAATTTAGTTTATGTTCGTTATTAATTAACACCTAAGTTTATCAAGATGGTGTTGTCAGCAAGCTAAATCCTTTATTTGTCTTTTTTAATTAGTTTTTTTTTTAATTATCCTAAATAATTAATAGTTAAATATATAAACAATAATGTGTTGTAAGGTTGAAATAATATAAAAGTCTTTTTAATAAACAACTTGATGTAGAGGATTTAGTACTTGTCCCACCAGTGACAAATGCCTGTTCCACCAGTCGCAATAAAAACAAATTTTTTTAATTGTTTCAACGTACGGTAATCAGTCTAATTGTTCATAATATTCAATGTGTTGTAGGATTAATTTTGTTATTTTCGAGGGAACGTATTTTTTTTGAGTTTAGTGCTCGAGCTGACAATTGGACTTTAAGTGTACCTTTGGTAAGAGGGAAGGATTTGTTGTTAGTCCCACCAGTCACACTCAGTCAAATTATAATTACGAGAAACTTAAAAAGTAATGGACGGTTTGTTGACAAAGGGATCTTGTTAATTAGTTATTCTTCTATACTATAAGATAAATTTTACTGTAGTGTAAGTTTCAGTCAATTATATATAATTGATGGAAATCCAGTCAAATGTCCCATCAGTCACTATAGAATGCCCCATAAATAAAAAATTCATGTAAAAAAACTCATCAGTTAATCTATTTTAAAATAGGACAGAATTTTTCATATATTTATATATATTCTATATATATATATATATATATATATATATGTATATATGAAAAATATATAAAATATGCATGTTGGTACTCAAATGAAAGCTCTTGATGACTATAACATCAAGATGAGCTTATATTTGTAAAAATGTAAATAAAAATAATAAAAATGTCCGATATAAATCCAAAAAAATCATACCCTTCGTTTCCGCCGGTGACGTTTAGTACTCGTGCTACAATTGTCACCAAACATAAACTCATCCTTGGGAATAACAGTCCCATTACTATGTTTCTTGTACTTGTTCTTAGAAATATATTTACTTTTCTTCTTAACATTACTCTTATTCCCGAATAACTTGCTCAAGATCTTCATTTCAAACTTTTATTAATAAATAATTGAATAAATAAATAACTGTCAGTTAAAAAGGTATAAAAAAAATCGTCCACTTAGTATGATGGTCATAGAGGCACTAAAGCACTAACTACACCCGCTCACAACGATTAAATGTGTAGTAACAACATTATACGTGTATTGTATACGAATAATGTGTAAAGAAACAGATAGAATATCAGTAACACAAAACATGTGGATGTACTGGGAATTATAATGCACCACGCTATATCTACCCAGAGCTAGTAAATTGAAAAGAGAGCATCCTATTACAAATTACACGCAACGCTCTGTACATGTGTGCGTACGCGGACGCATATACTAACGCCCCTATTTTGTTATTTATTTATTATTATTTTACGTTGCATTTTACTTTTATTCAAGTCTCTAACAATTGCCGACAATGTCTGCGAAGTCGAGTGGATCTTGTCGAGAAAGAAGACTAGCATGACCGGGAAACGGATTTAGAAGCTCCAAAAGTGCGGATTAAAAAATAAAACATTTTTTTTTTCCTGCAAATGTTACGCCTTGTTTTCTTTTTATTAATTTAACGGATTAGATTGGTTTATTATGTCATTTATTGGTGGAAGAAAGAGTTTTTTTAAAGAAAAATATTGAAAATAAGGTAAAGGCTTGAAAAAAAGCAAGATTTTGAAAAATTAGTTCGGAAAAAATCTGTAAGATGGCGCCGCGCGCCGGATTAGGAACTACGTCACAGCCCCGCGAAAATTCAAATCCAAAAAAATAATTTTCTATTTAAAAAGGTCACCTTGATGTATTTAAATAATTTTCTTAATAACTCAAAAAAAATTCTTCTATTATTTAAAGAATTTTAAGACTTTTTTTTTTTCTTCCTTGCTGAGTTGTGCTTAGATTTTCGGCATAGATTATTTTTTTTTTTTCGGCATAGATTAGTTATTTGGCATAGATTTTCGGATTCTGTTTTTGTTAAGTTGCAGTTGAAAAAGATGTGGTTCAGGTCTTGTGTTTCGTGTCCGCAGTCGCATGTAGGGTTGTCTTTGATTTTTATCCTGTGCAAGTATTCGTTAGTGCATAAGTGTCCAGATCTCATTCTATTTATTAGTGTTATGGTGATTCTTTTTAAATTTTTGTTTTCAAACCATACTTTTTTGCTATTACTATTGTTTGGTCCTGGATTTTTGAATTTTTGGTATGTCGAATCGGATTTTTTAAAGTCTTCGTATTTGGTTGTTTCATCTTCTGTTTTGTATAATTTTAAGACTTAATCGCTAAACTCTTTAAGCATGCGAGAAACTTATTCGCATGCGCCATCTATTGGCAAAAAATCAAACTAAACTCACCGGTTCGTCGACAGGCTCATCTAGGATTTCCTCGGGGCCGCTCCACCTCTCGGGGTCTCCATCCAGGCTGTAAAAAAAAAATGCCAACAAATAAATGAATAATCTAATAAAATAGTGAGAAAAGCAATTAATATCATCAAAGTCGTAATCTTTGATAAGTAAGATAAGATTAGACAATCTAACATTTTCCATTACTGAATTGCACCCACGGCATTCATTATTTCAAGGTAATAAATAAATAAATTTTAACAGATTTTCAATACAGATCCATTAATTGAACGAAATAACTTTAATTAGTTCCTTAGATGTCGAAATTTAGGAGGAAGTGGAGGCGTATGTAGATTGTCAGTACACTAAGTGACTATACAAATCTTTTAACCGTGATTGGAGGACTAATCACGGTGTTGCGTTATGAAATGTACGAAGGAGAGGAAGATTATCTGGCGGGCTATTGTCGTTTATATTAAACATAACAGTTGTATCAAGACAATTCAACTCAAAAGATCACTCACCTCTTGATATATATATATACATATATATATAGGTATATATATATATATATATGTATACATATATATATATATATATATATATATATATAGGTATATATATATATATATATGTATACATATATATATATATATATACATATATATATAGGTATATATATATATATATATGTATACATATATATATATATATATACATATATATATAGGTATATATATATATATATATGTATACATATATATATATATATATACATATATATATAGGTATATATATATATATATATGTATACATATATATATATATATATACATATATATATAGGTATATATATATATATATATGTATACATATATATATATATATATACATATATATATATGTATATATATATATCAAGAGGTGAGTGATCTTTTGAGTTGAATTGTCTTGATACAACTGTTATGTTTAATATAAACGACAATAGCCCGCCAGATAATCTTCCTCTCCTTCGTACATTTCATAACGCAACACCGTGATTAGTCCTCCAATCACGGTTAAAAGATTTGTATAGTCACTTAGTGTACTGACAATCTACATACGCCTCCACTTCCTCCTAAATTTCGACATCTAAGGAACTAATTAAAGTTATTTCGTTCAATTAATGGATCTGTATTGAAAATCTGTTAAAATTTATTTATTTATTACCTTGAAATAATGAATGCCGTGGGTGCAATTCAGTAATGGAAAATGTTAGATTGTCTAATCTTATCTTACTTATCAAAGATTACGACTTTGATGATATTAATTGCTTTTCTCACTATTTTATTAGATTATTCATTTATTTGTTGGCATTTTTTTTTTACAGCCTGGATGGAGACCCCGAGAGGTGGAGCGGCCCCGAGGAAATCCTAGATGAGCCTGTCGACGAACCGGTGAGTTTAGTTTGATTTTTTGCCAATAGATGGCGCATGCGAATAAGTTTCTCGCATGCTTAAAGAGTTTAGCGATTAAGTCTTAAAATTATACAAAACAGAAGATGAAACAACCAAATACGAAGACTTTAAAAAATCCGATTCGACATACCAAAAATTCAAAAATCCAGGACCAAACAATAGTAATAGCAAAAAAGTATGGTTTGAAAACAAAAATTTAAAAAGAATCACCATAACACTAATAAATAGAATGAGATCTGGACACTTATGCACTAACGAATACTTGCACAGGATAAAAATCAAAGACAACCCTACATGCGACTGCGGACACGAAACACAAGACCTGAACCACATCTTTTTCAACTGCAACTTAACAAAAACAGAATCCGAAAATCTATGCCAAATAACTAATCTATGCCGAAAAAAAAAAAATAATCTATGCCGAAAATCTAAGCACAACTCAGCAAGGAAGAAAAAAAAAAAGTCTTAAAATTCTTTAAATAATAGAAGAATTTTTTTTGAGTTATTAAGAAAATTATTTAAATACATCAAGGTGACCTTTTTAAATAGAAAATTATTTTTTTGGATTTGAATTTTCGCGGGGCTGTGACGTAGTTCCTAATCCGGCGCGCGGCGCCATCTTACAGATTTTTTCCGAACTAATTTTTCAAAATCTTGCTTTTTTTCAAGCCTTTACCTTATTTTCAATATTTTTCTTTAAAAAAACTCTTTCTTCCACCAATAAATGACATAATAAACCAATCTAATCCGTTAAATTAATAAAAAGAAAACAAGGCGTAACATTTGCAGGAAAAAAAAAATGTTTTATTTTTTAATCCGCACTTTTGGAGCTTCTAAATCCGTTTCCCGGTCATGCTAGTCTTCTTTCTCGACAAGATCCACTCGACTTCGCAGACATTGTCGGCAATTGTTAGAGACTTGAATAAAAGTAAAATGCAACGTAAAATAATAATAAATAAATAACAAAATAGGGGCGTTAGTATATGCGTCCGCGTACGCACACATGTACAGAGCGTTGCGTGTAATTTGTAATAGGATGCTCTCTTTTCAATTTACTAGCTCTGGGTAGATATAGCGTGGTGCATTATAATTCCCAGTACATCCACATGTTTTGTGTTACTGATATTCTATCTGTTTCTTTACACATTATTCGTATACAATACACGTATAATGTTGTTACTACACATTTAATCGTTGTGAGCGGGTGTAGTTAGTGCTTTAGTGCCTCTATGACCATCATACTAAGTGGACGATTTTTTTTATACCTTTTTAACTGACAGTTATTTATTTATTCAATTATTTATTAATAAAAGTTTGAAATGAAGATCTTGAGCAAGTTATTCGGGAATAAGAGTAATGTTAAGAAGAAAAGTAAATATATTTCTAAGAACAAGTACAAGAAACATAGTAATGGGACTGTTATTCCCAAGGATGAGTTTATGTTTGGTGACAATTGTAGCACGAGTACTAAACGTCACCGGCGGAAACGAAGTAAAATTAGTATATTGGAAAATAATTTTTTAATTATTTATGGAAAATAGTATGTGTAAATACAATTTATTTTAAATAAATAAAAAGATATAATAGTTAATTATTGGTATATAAATCTTAAGAGATAACGAACATAAGACAAGATTACATTATACGCGTGGTAGATATACATTCTGTCGAAGACTTTGAATTGTGTCGGTTGTTTTTGGTTGTGACAAGTTTTTTTTTTTGATTTTTTGGTTTTGATTTTTTTTATTTTAAGAGTTAATGGGTCGCGCTTGACATGGAGATGGAAATGATGGACGACAAGGGGATGGGGAACAACAATGTTGTTGAACCGATGTTAATTAAGCACAATGCGAGGAGCATCACCGAGGGGAAGAAGTTTTTTCAGTACACCTCCACGCTTATTGGTGAGTTTTGATAATCCTAATTGGTGGAATTATTCATTTTTATGTACCTAGACTTTTTTTATTGACCAGATTTGGTGATAATTACAGAGTAAATATATCTTATCGGATATATATAGAACGTGTGATTATTTTTTCGGTCGGTGCAACGGTGAAGGGGTCGGAAATTTAAACAGAAAAGTTTTTTTTATTTATTAAGATCCTACAACTCGGAAATTATTGAAAATAAACCCCTAATATAAAAACGTTTTTTTTTAGAAATTTAATAAGCTATTGTATTGTTATTCTTTCCTAAACTCATTATTTTAGATGATCAATTTTATATTAAAAAATTATTAAGAATTAATTTTTGATTTTTTATTATATAGATATATAAGTAATATCTCCTAAAATATTGAAGATAGACCCCTAATACAAAAACGTTTTTGGTAGGAAATTTAATAAGCTATAATTTTGTATTCTTATAAATTTCTCCTAAAATCAATATTTTAGGAGCTATAGCCATTTTTAGAGTGACTATACTATAATTTTTCATTTCCTATTATTTCGTTACTACTTAAATGGCTATATCTCATAAAATATTAAAGATAGACTCCTAATACAAAAACGTTTTTTTTAGGAAATTTAATAAGCTATAATTTTGTATTCTTATGATTTTTTCCTAAAATCAATATTTTAGGAGTTACAGCCATTTTTTATAAAGACTAGATTATAATTTTTTATTTTTCATCAACGAGTCACTAATAAAGTTCCTATAACTCCTAAAATATTAAAGATAAGTCAATATAACACAAACATTATTTGTAGGAAATTTTATAAGCTACAAGATTGACCTCTTAAGATTTTTTCCTAAAATTGATATTTTAGGAGTTGTAACTATTTTTTACAATGACTTGATCATAATTTTTTTATTATTCATTCTTTTTATAAAATTACTATATTTCCTAAAATATTGAGAATAGACCCCTAATATAAAAACGTTTTTTTTAGGAAATTTAATAAGCTACAATTTAGCTCCTATAATTTTTTCTTAAAATCATTATTTTAGGAGTTATGGCCATTTTTATATTAACTAGATCATAATTAATTTTCTTCACTATCTAATTGCTTACTAAGTTCCTATATCTCCTAAAATATTGAAGATAGACCCCTATAATATTGATATTATTGTTAGAAAATTTTCTAAATTACAATTTTGGTCTCTAAAAAAATTTCTCCTAAATTCAATATTAATCTCTAATCTAAATATCCCCTTAGCAACCTTGACTACCAACAAAAGAAAACAAAAGAAAGTAATAGCACGTTAATCGGTCATAAACTCATTGACTAGATAACTAAAATCAACATTATAAATATCAAAGAACCGTAACCTTCTTTGTTTTCACCGTGACCCGAATAAGCTTACCAACAAAACAAACTAACTAAAACTGCCTCTTAAATTTCCAGCGGGACTGATGTCGATGCAAGCAGGAATGAAGCTAAGCTGGACCTCACCAGTGGGGCCTTACTTGACCTCCGAAACCTCATTCCTAATCGACATGACGGAGAACAAGATGTCGTGGGTGTGCGCACTGATGGCGCTGGGTGCAATAGTCGGTGCTGTCCCAGCCGGTAAGGTTGCCGATAAGATAGGACGCAAGACCGCGATAACGATAACAGCAGTGCCCTTCCTTATCTCCTGGCTGACGATAATCTTCACGCGGGACCTAGTGAGCCTCTACATCGGGCGTTTCATCGGCGGAATTGGCGCAGGGTCAGCTTGCGTCCTCGTGCCAGTTTATATCGGTGAAATATCCGAGCCTTCGATTCGTGGCGCCCTTGGGTCATTCTTTCCACTACTATTTTCCACCGGGGTGGTCTTCGTCTACGTAGTAGGGGCCTACGCCGCCTACATGGCCTTCAACATCGCCTGTTCCTTGACATTAGTTCCTTTTTTGCTCGTCTACTTCCTCCCGGAGTCGCCGCTGTGGTTGGTACAAAATGGCCGCCTGGCAACAGCCGAAAGGGCGCTCAGAACGCTCCGGGGGGAGAACTACGAATTCAAAAAGGAAATTTCGGTGCTTCAAGAAGAAGCGGGCCGTGTGGAAAGCAGCAAGGGCGGAATTAGGGACCTGATTGGCACCAGAGCCGGAAGAAAGGCCATTGGAACTTGCGTGGGCCTTATGTGGTTCCAGCAAATGTGTGGAATTGACGCAGTTCTCTTCTACACCGTCAAAATCTTCAAGGACGCTGGCAGCACCATCAATCCCTTCATCGCCACAATCATAATTGGGATCATCGAAGTCATCATGGCGGTCGTTGTAGCCACAGTCATCGACAAATTCGGCAGAAAACCTCTATTGGTAATCTCAGGCACTGCTATGACCATTTGTTTAGCTGTTCTTGGGTACTACTTCAAGCTCCAAGCGGAAAAAGTTAATTTAGAATCAGTCGGGTGGCTCCCTCTGACGTGTCTTGCGTTATTTAATGTTGTGTTCAGTGTCGGGTATGGCTCGGTACCTTTTGCGGTTATTTCAGAGCTTTTTCCGCCGGAGACTAAAGGAGTTGCCAGTAGTCTTTGTATTATGGTCAATTGGGCGCTGGTGTTTGTTGTTACTAAGTTCTTTCCGAGTATGGTTGAGGCTACTGGGCCTGATGTTACTTTTTGGACTTTTGCTAGTATGGCTGCTTTGTCTGCGTTTTTTGCGTTTTTCTTTGTTCCCGAGACTAAGGGGAAAACTTTACAGGAAATTCAGACGAAATTAGCGGTGCATAAGATTAAGCAGGTTATTTAAGTTAGGAGGAAAAAAAATGGAAATTTTTGCGGAAAAAATTAGTTAAATACATCAGGTGACCTTTTTAAATAGAGAATTGTTTTTTAAATTTGAATTTTCGCGGGAGAGTAGTTCCTAATCCGGCAACGCCATCTTACAGAGAAGAGGAAGTATATATCCATATTTAAGGTGTTCTAAATAGGCTTAAATTTAGGTTAGATTTGTCGGGTAAATAAGTTAATAAAAACAATTTTGTTCAAAATTAATAATTATTAGGGAAAAATAATAATTACTTAAAAGTGCGGACAGATATAAGGCTTCTAAAGATATTTAACAATTGTTTACCGAACCCGGACATGTTGTTTGTCTCAAGCCTTAATCGAGCATACTTTTTATTTATTCGAGATTATTTTGCGTTAATTAAAACAAACTAAGAAAAAAACTAGCCGATTAATAAGAATGTTTCTTACAACGTCATTAAATAATGGATAATTATATTATAATGTGAAAATAAGAGTGATTTTAATTAATAGTATTGAAAATAAAATGGCTTTAATTAATAAATAATCAAATTTCTTAATTTCTATGTAATACGAAGAATTAGTTAATAAGAATCTAATAAAAATCGATGCTTTTTAGTAAAAAAATTTTTTTTGGATTTGAATTTTCGCGGGGCTGTGACGTAGTTCCTAATCCGGCGCGCAACGCCATCTTACAGATTTTTTCCGAACTAAATTTTTTAATTTTTGTTTTTTAAACCTTTTTAACTATTTTCTTTTAATTAATTTATTTTTTCATCAATTTTTAGTCAAAAATTTAATAAAAAAATCTTTATTGTAGTATTAAATTTAATATTTGTCACAAAAAATTCTTTATTATAGTCTAAACTTTAATATTTGTGTTAAAAAATTAAACTATTATGCCGGAACTGGGTTCGAATCTTGGCTAGAGTTAATTTTTTTTTTTTATTCAAACTAAATATTAATAGAACAGTAATTAACTTCAAAAAAAAAATTTTATAAGCCGTAAAAAATTCCCATTTATTTTTTCCTTGTAGTGTAAATATTATATATATATATATTAGTATATTAAGGTTATTTATTTTTTAAACTAAAACTTGCCTGTACCGGTACCCCGGAAGGTTATAGGACTCTAAGATCAAAGAATAGTCCAATTTATTCAGGTAGTTGTCATAATTAGCGTACATTTTGTGTACTATGTACTCACGACACTTGTATTGAAAATAAACACTTTTTAATAAAAAAATTTGTTTTTTTTTTTTTTTTTTTTTTTTTTTTGGCGTGCACTTATAAATTTTTTAATTCCGGGTAAATTATTGGAGCTAAAAAAAGTAAAAAAATACTTTTTTGTGTAGAGTAAAATTTTCTACAAGATTTTGAGGCTCATTTCAGATAAAGTGAATTATTTACCAATTACCGGTTATTATTGTGAGCATATCTGACGGACGCTCGAAGACTGGAGTGACTATGAAGCGAAATTATAAATACCCGCCCCTACTTGTCTTGTTGCTTTCCTCTTTCCTCTTTCCTCGATATTATTTTTGGAGTTTATTTTGGTAACATTTTTATTTAGTCATACTCTGGATGTCAAAAGGTTATGGCGAGTCCATTGGTGGTAATAATTTATTTATATTGTATAATATATATAAACTGAGGATGATAAAGAGATAATAACCAATTAAAGTGATTGTAATCCCAGTGATCATTGACCCAGTGGTTGTTATGCCGTACACTCGAGTACCAGCTACATCACTGTCTACTTTACAATCATGAGAATAAGAAATAATTATATAGACAAAAGATTCATTTATATAGATATATATGATATGTTTTTCCGGTTCTCAGCTACAATTCTTTCCTTCCTTTATAATTATTTTTCTTGGTAGTTTTTAATTTTGTTAAATTTTATCTTTAACTCGGAAGGTCTTAATTATTTTTAGGAATTTTTTTTAAGCTTAATAAATTAATTATTTTATCAAATACTTGACATTGAATCATTGAAAATGATTTTTTGTATTTTAAATTAGCTGAGAATTTTTAAATTGAAATTTTGGAGATAGGGACAAATTCTAAGAGACCTTTCTATAGGAAATTTAATTTTTTTTCTTATGAATTTTAGATTAATTTAATATTTTAGGAGGTATAGCCATTTATTGGGTATATCTCCTAAAATATTAAAGATAGACCCATATAACATAAACGTTTTTTATAGGAAATTTTATAAGCTACAATTTAGGTCCTACAATTTTTTCCTAAAATCAATATTTAAGAAGCTATGACCATTTTTAAAGGTCATAGCTCCTTAATTTTAATTAAAGATTAATTATTGAGGCATTCATTAAGAATTAATTAAGAATTAAGAATTAATTTTTAATAATTAATTAATTAAGAATTAATTTTTAGTAATTAAATGAGTAAAAATTAGGTCTTAATAATTAAAAAAGAATTAATTAAGTAAAAATTAGCTCTTAATAATTAAGAAAGAATTAATTCTTAAGAATTAATTCTTAACAATTAATTAAGAATAAATTATTAAAAAATAGTTATTGGGGCATTCTTAATAATTAATTAATTAAGAATTAATTTTGGGGTATTCTATGCAAAATGAAAAACTGACAAAAATTAAAAAATTTCTCTAATTAATTCTAATATACTCCTAATTTATTATTAAAAGTTTATATTTAACTAATTTGTAAAGACAATTTTTTTTAATCAATAAGAAAATCGATTTTTCTCTCCTAGTAATTTTTCAGCCGTACTAACTTGTATCCCGGTCAAATGTTATTTTAATAGTTTTAACAACAAATTTATTTAATGTTTGTTATTAACTAACATATTTATTATTATAGTTTTAAGAACAAATTTTGTTTATGTTCGTTATTAATTAACACCTAAGTTTATCAAGATGGTGTTGTCAGCAAGCTAAATCCTTTATTTGGCTTTTTTAATTAGTTTTTTTTTAATTATCCTAAATAATTAATA